GGGTCTTGCTAAGTCACTAAGCTACCCAGGTTGAGTTTGAATTTGTGATCCTCCTGCCTCAGCCTCTCAGAGGTCTGGGATTACAGGTGCGCACCAGCACACCAGGCTTCTCCTTTGTTTTTAGGGTCCCATCTTCACTTTCCTCAACTCTCCTCTGGGTTCTGAGTAAATCAGATCATCTGTAAGTCTAGGATGTAAGTCTCTTTTGTCACTACTCCTGCTGGACCAAACTTAGGTGTTTACTTTGCTTCCATCTAAGCTCTGGAGGATCCAAATATTTGGACCCTTTGGGCAGATATATGGAGTGCTGACTAAACCCAGAAATCTCTTTGACTGCCCAACAAAATAAGGCCATTCTGATGCTGTTGTGTCCCCAGGACTCAGAGTTTCATTGCAGAATAAAATTCAGAGATAAAAATAAAGCTTGCTTCACTCCTGTAGCTCCCACCCTCTTTGCCCACAAACTACCCTGGCCGGCTGGTTCTCAGGCTCTAGACTGTGACGTCTCAGGATTTCCAACTTCCTGCCTCCATCCAAAGCTGATGCCACTTTCCCAGGCACTGGGAGTCCAGTTTGCAAGGGTCAGTCCCCAGAATTCCTTGTGGTAACAGTGAAGAGACAAATATTCCTGTCTGTTAATTAGCACAGGAAATGAACAAAATTGAGTAGGTGGCTTTTCTGTGATTAGAAACCTTTTAAAACAACACAAGCTTGGCTGAATCTCTCCTAGGGCTGGGAATGGACGTAAAAACCTGACAACTATCTAGGCAATTTAATGAAAAACCTTAGATCAGGCTCTTTTGATTTTTGTGGAGTAAAAAAGGGGAATCCAACAAGGGTAAATCATCCCTAATGTCTTGTAGGGTTTGTTTTTTTTTTTCCTACATTCTGGTGTTACTAAAATAAATAGTACAGAATCCATCCCATGTAGGTTACTTTCCCATTCTTCTTTTTTTCACCCTCATGTCTTCACAACAGTCCTTTTAAGGACCTGAGAGTCTTTTTAAGTCTTGCCCCCTCTCATGTTAGCTTCCTCTGACAGATGTTGATTTTTCACGATTTCTCCTTCTTAGGTTTCAAAACCATCAGAGTGTCTGTTCTTGACACTAAAAATTGAAGCAACTGCTCTGCGGTAAAACTTGTTTTAGTTTGTCGAAGGGGGATCTAGGGAGGAGTTGAAAAGACAAACTTCCAATAGTAATAAAGCAAGAAGAAAATAATATATACTCAGCATGCACCCCACTTTTTCTTTCTTCTGTAAAGTCCACTCACCCTGTTTTGCCTGTACAACAATATAATCACATTTTCTCTTTGTTCACCAAAGTGTTCCACTCGGTCCTGGGCACAGAGTGAGCACTTAATACATATTTGCTGATGTGAATTGAAGGCCGGGGGTGTTTCCTACAGATTAAGCAATTTTGACACTATAATCCCTAAATAATTCCCAGGAAGTGCTTTGAACAATGGTTTCTATTGCAGTCACACTGGGGCTTTTGAATCCTGTCTTTTGCTGTTTGTTTCTGGTTCATAAGTCAAGCCACTCTCTGCCTCTTGGCTTGGTTCTTTAGACAGAGGGAAATGGCTGATAACTCCAGAGCAAGGGCATTTTTATTCTCTGTGCCTCAGAAACCAGACTCCAAAACAGAGAGCTGATTTTTTTCCACTTTCCTGAGTAACAGAACGGTCGTGGCTCGCAAATATTTGGAGAGGGGTGATAAAATATAACAAGGAGAGATGGAGGCGCTTTCAACTGAAACAGTTCCAATTCTGAGGCCTACCCTGAACGTGGGGAAACGAGGGTGAAATATTATAGCAGCAACAGGAATGGTTATTGAACTGTGAAAAGCATTTGCTACATAAAGAGGGCCTTAATTCCTTTGATGTTATCAGGGAGGGATGTATTAGGTTCTGCAAAGCAAGTGGCAATGATCAGCAAATGCATTTTTAAAATGTTCTTCCCCTTTAATATCAGGTGACTAAACTCAGTCTCTACTTGATAGGTTATTCTCTTTATTTCCCCTCAAAATGTATAATTGGGCAATTAAAAAGACCACTTAATTAAGTGATTAAAATTCTGGTATGATTCATCTCCACACCTCCACTTTCTGTGGCTTTGCTTTTGTGATCAAAAACATTAATACACCAAGTTCTTTGAGGATATAAAAATGCATAAATTACAACTCTTACTAACTGAAATAAAAGACCATGATAAATCCTGGTATCTTAACAATCATAGACATGCATATCTGCATTCATTTAAATTGACTTTCTAAAGCAGTAATTCCTTAGAACTGCATTAGAAATCATTTAAAAATTATTTTATTAAAGTCATGAGGAAATCATTATATTTGATTCTGCAACATCAAAATCATCAGTGAATAGAAAAAAACTTTTAATTTTTTGTAGTTTAACTAAAGAGTCAATGAAAAAAATAAACATTACTACTTCTTCCAACCATTTCAGCTGATAAAATGATGCTCAGAACGCCAGCTGAAATGGAAATCCAGTCGATGGGTTAAAGCTATAACTTAGGTTGAGAAGTTGCAGGACGGGTGTCATAGAGAGGTCACAGCCAGTGTTAAAGGGGCGATTTTCAGACTGCAGGTTTGTTCTTGGGGAGCAGGATTTCCCTCTGGCTTCATTTAGAAGGATGCCAGAAGTGTGTTTTGTGGCAGGGTGAAGATACCTGCCCAACTAGCAGATGCAGAGAAGAAAGCCATTCCTGGTTCTGTTCCTTTCACTTGCAACGGTTTACTAATAAGAGTCATGCAATCCTACCCAGAAGCAATGCTGTTTATGACTGCTGTCCTGTCTGTTACTGCTGACCACCGCAACTGACATAGAAAATATCTCCAAAGTAGCCATCCACTTGGAATCCCCTTAATACCACAAATCATATCGCTTGCATGGGGGCTTAGCGTCCTTGAGTAGTTTGCCTTGGACACTGTGCCCTGTTCCTGCTGAACCCCAGGTTAATACACAAATGCCTTCCCAAAGCCTGTGAGGACCAGGACAGAGTACACCGATAAAAGCCAATTGCCATTCAGGAGAAAGGAAAGGAAAAGAAGGAAGAGAAAAGAACCGGAGTCGCCCCATAACAGGTCCAGTCCAGCAGTTGTTGGGTCTAACATTTCACGCTGGCCTCTTTCTTCTTAGACAGCCTACGCTGGCATCCAGGGGCTATCGCCTGTCAAAATAGCAGCCAGACCAACAATTGACAAAGCATCCCTTGAGGTCGGTGAGCACACTGGGGAAGGGCAGTCACAGGAGGTAATGTGCAAGCTGGCACCCACTGCCCAGCCCAGCCTGAGAACCACTTACGTGGGAATTGTCCCTCTGGGTGTCCCAGCTCTGTCACACACTGCCCAGGGCTTACCTTTCAGCACAGGAACTGATCTCTTTTTGACAAATTGAAATACACACCCATCTGAAAAGCCCTCAGGGGAGGGTGGGAATTCAGGTGGGAAAGCGGGCCATTCTCTCCAGGCTGCCACAGGCTGGGTGTCCCCAGGCCACTGTTTCTTGGGAACACAGTGGGTAGCCTTTGTGTGCAACCCTGACACAGTCCAGATAAGGCCAGACAGGGCCTGAGTCTCATGAACCCCATATGCTGAGCAATTCTTCTGCAGGAGGGCCTCCTCCACCCCCAAATCCTGCACACTCCTTTGCGGCATTTATTTATTTATGTTTATTTAAAATTTTTGGTTATATTTTATTTTTATTCAATCTAGCCATCTATTTCTTTATTCATTTATTTATTTGTTTATTTTCCAGTACTAGGAATTGAACCCAGTACCTTCACACTGAGTCTCTTTCCCTGTATTTCTCTTTCTTTCTCTTCCCTCCTTTTTCTTCCTTCCCTTTTCTTTTTCTTCTTCCTTCCTTCCTTCCTTCCTTTCTTCCTTCCTTCCTTTTTTTCTTCCTTCCTTCCTGCCTCATTTCTTTTCTTTCATTTCCTTCCTTCTTTCCTTCCTCCCACCTTTCATTCTTCCCTTCTTTCTACTATTTGTGTGTGCTTGCAATATACAGTATTTACATTTATTTTGGAGGGTTGGTACATGTTTGTAACATATATGGATCACTTTCAGTCTCCTTGCTGGCTTCCTCCTTCCTCTGACTTGTTTCATTTACTATTATGGTCTCAAGATCCTCCTATTTGCCACACTCACATGATTTTGTTCTTTTATATGGCTAAATAAAATTCTAATATATACCACATTTTCTTTATTCAGTTCTCCTTCAATGGACAGCTAGGCTGTTCCCAGAGTTTAGCTATTGTGAGTTATACTGTTAGAGATGTAGTTACACAGGGATATGGTAGGGTGTGTTCAATGTGGCATTGAGAATATGTGTCCACAAAAGGAGAGAGAAGGACTACGGTCTAACCAAGTGCAGGTTGCAGGTTGCAGGAGCATCTGCAGATAAGACCTGCAATGAATCACTTTCAGAAAGCAGAAGTGGGGTCTCCACAACTGCACAGACCAGAAACATGCAACTTGAAATAATAGAATTGAGTAGGACAAAAGAAATCTCAACAGATCTATTTTTGTTTATATCTTTGCTTTTAAAACACAGAGAGGCACATTTGAGTTGTGACCTAGACTGCAGAATCCCTTACCACTCTGGAAGTTATACCAGTTCACTGCTCTTCTATATTTTGCAGTCACCCAGAAGAATAAAAAATCAGCATCTAAAAGTATAGGTCAGTATAACTATATGGGGAAAAAGCCTTTTAGAAATAACTTTAGCAAGCATGATATGAATAAATATAAAAACTTAATTAAGATGCTCAAAACATATATAAATTTAAAATAGGAAAATCATGAGCAAATATACCAAAACCTTGGATTGTGAATAACATGTTCTGAGAGTGACCCACAAGATGAAGAAACATTTCTAATAAATTTTAACTTTGTGATGTCTTATAATACTATTGGTATGTGACCCTGAATATCACATGATCACAACTGAACTAATGGCCCTCTCTCTCTCTCTTCCAGCCTCCTTCCCTCCCTCCGTTTCTCTCTGAGGAATTGTAGGTGATCATCTCCCAATAACAAGAGGTTATGAAGAAGATCTTGTTTGCAGAGGAGGAGAGAATGGCCAAGGAATACCTTACTTCAGATGAGATTAGAGAAGTGTGTATAATATGGGAAACAGTGAAAAATTTTGTAGAAAAACACCACCCAAATAAGGCTGGAGTAGTGCCAGTGATGAATCTGTGTAATGGCAATGCAGTGTCACATTTCTGTGAAATACTCAAATGAGCAGTTATTGCTTCTACTTAGATATCACCCCCAAAGCCTCATGCAGTCACAGGTACGGCTTTTCAGAGGTGTCTGGATCAAGGATGTGTGATGCTGGGATTAAGGGTTCCCCACCGTGGGAGTCAGTGGTACTCATGCTAAAGGCTTGAAGCCTGGAGAGAATATAAGGGACAGAAAGAGGGCTGCTGCTATAGTTTCCTGCTTGTTATTTCCCTACTAGCTGCCTTCAAACTGCCCTACTTTGCCATGGGTTTTTTCTCCTCTGCCATGCCACCCTGCCTTGGAGCCTGTTGACTATGATAGGCTCCTTGTTAAAGTTGCACACCCTGAAAAGTTTCCGTTGAGCCAATAGATACCAGTGATTGTGTTGGTGATAGTGAAAGTTGCCCTCCTCCTCTTTTGACTCCCTCACACCAGCTAGGAAAGTTTTCAAAGTGCAGGTTAATTTGGTTATTTTTCTTTCTACTGTGTATTTTTTATTATTATGGACTATATTACAGTATTCTAATGATTTTTATGTGAATTTTTTGAGGTTGTGTAATGAATCATCAGCGTTTCCTTTATGTTTAGAGGAAATTTGCTTTGACATACAAGTACTTGGATTACAAGTGTGTTCCCAGAACGAATTATGCTGGCAAACCAAGGTTTTACTGTAAATCTCAAATTCAAAATAAATCTATTCCTAAACTTTTTTAAAAAACTAAATGAAAAAAATGTGCCATACTTTTTGTTCTAATTGACAAACACATAAAGAATGCTAATGCTATGTGCATCCCATAAAATATGGATGGTGTAAATATGTATTATTATCAAGGCATCTGGGAAGCAATTTGATAGCAATTTGACGAAAGTTCAAGAAAGTGTGAATATTTTTGCCTAATAATTTTACTAGGAAGATGGATTTCACCGTGAGCCTCCTAGCCCCCTGCCACTGGGCAGTCTGGAGCCAGGTTCATAGGGACCCTTGTATAGGCAGGCCCTGCACAGCCTTGGCTTTTTATTTTCCAGTTACAAGACATTGGTTCCTAACTCCAGAACCTCTTGCCTACCTCTAGAGAAAGTAACTTCTCTGTGGTACTACAGAAAGGCACATACTGGTGTCTTTACTCTCCCCAGATTTTGCCTATGTATCATTGTATTCATCAGTTATTTTACCCCAGTTCCTCATTTAAGGATGTCAAACTTCTGATCTCATCACAATGCAATTTCAGATTCCTTTTAGAAATTTTTGTTTTCTTTCTGTCTTTATTTCTTCATGATGACTAGAACACAATTAAATGTATAATGTCTTCATTCTATCAAAAATGGTTTCACATCGTTGTTCTTTTGGGATTTTCAAATTTTTAACATCGCTATTTTTGCAATTAGTGAAAGTGCAGCTTAAATTAATTCATGATAGAAAGATATTATAATTTACACTGAGACAAAATATTAAAATAATAATTGCGTACATTTGAAAAGTCTTTTCCAAATAACACTTGGAAATGATATCAGTTTTAGCAAGACATGGGCAATCTTTATCCATTCCTTTGATAATTAAAAGTTTAGTAAAAATGCTTTACTGGAGCTTAAGTTTGAAATGGAGTATATGTTGCTGTTTTTTATTCATGTGTGAGAGATTTAAGGAAAGCCTGTATTCAATAAAAGTTACATGAGACATAGAAAAGATCAACCTGAACTTGTTTTCCACAGATTGCTTTCTATGAAACACAACATTGCCCACTGTTTCTATCAAGTAATATTTTTAATTCCCTGTGAATGTATGAAATCCCCTTGTGGCCTTAGGGTAGCCTGCTGGAAATGAAGTCAATACAGAATTGTTCAGTGCTTTAGTGCAAAACAACTGTGACAATCTCTAGCCCGTATTCAGTGTGCACCAACTCCTCCCTTTCACCTGGGATTTTCCTGGTTTGAGGCCTGAAAGTCCTGTACCATGGAAAATCCCCACTAAGTCTCAATCACCCTGTGTCCTGAGAGCCTGCCTTGTACTAAATGATTCCTCTTATCTGTGGCTGTGTAACAAACTACCCCTGAGCTGAGTGACTCCACACAATAGCCATTTTGTTATATCTGATGACTCTGTAGCAAAGAATTCAAGTAAGGTTTCTCTGGCAGGTCTGTCTGCTCCTAGTTTTCTGTGGTCCTTCTTAGTATCAGTAGGTAGCTTGGCTGCTTAAGATGGTCCAGGATGACTGCACTTCCATGACTGGCAACTCCATGGATGTGTCTGAAAGGCTGATATTGACTTGGCCACTTTCCCTCTCTGTGTAATCTTCGGTTTTCTCCAGATATCCTCCTCAGCAAAATAATTACACTCCTCCCTTTGTATCTGAGCGTACTGAAAGTAAAAATTCTAACAGACAGGAAGTAGGGGCCAGCAAACAGGAAATAGAAACCAACACACAGGAAGTAGAAGCTGGCAATCTCTTAACATCTGGGTCTGAAAATTGACACACCACTTCTACCATATTCTTTTGGTGAAAGCAGTCATAGAATTTTCCCGGGTGCAAAAGGATTGGACATTGGCTGTGCTTCTTAACGGGATCAAAATCTTTGACATCAACCCTAGCAGCGACATAGATACTTTACTTGGAGGTAGTAATCCCAAATTACAGGTTAAGTTCCTCAAGTGGATATTATTGTTTTACGTTTTCCAGTTTAGAAAAATGAAGTCTCTTAAGTTCATACAATTTTATTAAGATCAGACAACAAATAATATCATTCTACCAAAGCACATCTATACATCCTGGCCCATAAATTATTGGATCACCTGGATCTTATGAAGTGTCAGGTTTTTGTGAAGCCTGTTAAAGAGAATGAAGAGAGTTATAGCCATCAATCCTATGTCTGTTAGATTCTGCCAGGCAAAACCATTCCAAAGTTCAGTTAGCTAGGCAATTGTTCCAGTTCCCATGGACTGAGATGATCTTGGTGGTGCTCATTAGCTGTCTGTGTTGAGTTGCTGGTTTGGTTGGAAAGTGATTGGTTTAAGATTGCTCACTCAGGTGCCTGTGGGTAGCAGGCCATTTGCCAGAGGCTGGCTAACTGTTGGCTGATAAGCCTTGCTTCTCTTCCACGTGACTGATTATCCTTCATTAAGCAAAGTCAGATTTGTTTACATGAAAGTTGCATTATTCCAAGAACAAATGTGTGCAAGGTTGCAATAAATGTGTGCAAGGTTGGTGTGCAGCCTCAGAACTCACACAACGTTGCTTCCATTACATTCTATTGACCAAAGCAAGACACAAGGCCAGCCAAAATTCAGGAGTTGGGTAATGGACTTTGCCTCCTTGAAAGGTATAAACTGCAAAAACACACTGAAAAAGTCTGGATTCAGAGAAAAAATGGCAGTCATTGGTGCATTCTGACGTAAGGCCATTTTGTTATGGTCTGAAGCAGTTTGGACACAGCGGCATACAGCCTGTCACATTTCTGATAAGCTGACTAAAATGAAAATGTGGGGATTTTTTAGTTCAACTGGAAGTCTTATTCAAATAATTAATCTATAGTAAAGCCAGTAAGTCCAATGGATATTTTAAAGGTCTTTCATAAATCACAATAAAAGAAACTTTTCTTAACCTACTTCAGTCCATTGTAATATCAGCTTAAGGAAAAGTTGCCTCTCTAGGTTGTTTAAAACTGGTCCATATTGAAAATTAAGTAAATGTCATCAACCTGTACATCAGCATTCTATAGCAAACCCCATAAAAGAGAAAGTGTTCACTTAAATTAAAACTGTATGGCATGAACACAATGACAATTTAAACTCCCCAAGAAGTAAATGAATGTTCCAGGATTTTAACTGCTAAATGATTCATGTTTGTACACTAACAGTAAATAATATCATTTGGATATATTTTAAGTATCAAATATTGCTGATGTATGAGATGTGATCAAACTGTAAAATGAGCATTTAAATTTTGAAGAAATTGTTACAGTAAAGGACACATTGCTATTCACATATCTTTTTTTGTTTGTTTGTTTTTTGCTTTTCTTCTGGTACCAGGAATCGAACTCACGACCTTGTGCTTGCTAGGCAGGCACTTTGCTGCTGAGCTAAATCTGCAGCCCCTATTCACACATCTTAAAATATCCCCCTTGGTTCAAATACACTTATCCTATCATTCTTGTCACTTTCTGAAGCAGTTCTGGCAGTCCTCTTTTGTGAGCCTCTTTAGTGGTACCATTGTGGCTGCTTTGATGTCCTGAATCCATTTAAAATGTTTACTGTTATGGTTGACTTTGGGGAAGAGCCAGAAGTTGCGTAGTGCCAGATCCTATGGATAAGGTGGATGGATGAAGACACACTATCTCAGTTACTTTTCTAGTTGCTGAGACAAAATACTGGACATTCAAAGTTAAGGGAGAAGAAGTTTATTTAACTCAAAGCTTGTAGGGGTTTCAGTCCACTGGCTCCACAACAGGTGGCACATGGAAGAAGGGCAATAGTTCATGGTAGAGGAAGACAGCAAAAGCAACAGAAGAGGGGAAAAAGACAAGATTCTTTCTGTACCTTATACTGTATGCAGACTATCTATTGTAGGGTGGGTGTAGCACTCACACCCTTAATCCCAACCAGAACTAAGCCAAACCAATCACTGGACTGATTTACTAATCACACACCCTAATCCCAGCATCACACTCTAGATTCAGCCAACTCTGAAAAAGTCCTATGACTGTATGAGGCTTTGGGGTGACATCTGGATGCAAACAAACCATAGCAACTGTAAAAATTTTATTTGATAGAAATTGCCACAAACATTTGAAATTGATACAAGTCATGAAATGGCACTCAGAAAAGAGGACTAGCCCATGACAATTTTAAACAAAGAAGATTATGATGAACTTGTTAAAATAAAACTGCAGTTGACCAAAGGAAATAATAGAGGGAGGGAAAGTTGAGTCAGCAGCAGCCTAGGGGTGAATTCAGGAAGGTCTGAGTCAAGGTAGTGATGGTGATAGTGAGTGTGGCACTGCCTGGGAGACATTAGGATAAGAATCTACAGGATCTGCTTGTTCAGTCTTGTGCAGTTTCCCCAAGTACTCCTCATTTCAAATCCCATGGTGATCAGAATTAGACAGATCCTGAGATATGGCTGATGTGAAATTAGAGAAAGAGAGAGAGAGAGAAACAGAGAGAGAAGCAGAGACAGAGACAGAGACAGAACAGGATAAAAATATAGCAACAGTGTAGTCTCATACAAAACTCCTTGGTCAGGAGTTCAAAAAATTGGAGTTTAAATCTTTCTGTGACACAGTTTATATTGAAACTTGAATAAGTCACTGCCACAGCTCCCTGGCCTCAGTTTCCATCTCTGTCCAAAAAGAATCCTCTGGAGGATGGTGTTTATTAAGGTTAAAAGCACAGCTAAATGTAGTGGCTCATTGATTTCTAAAATGGCCTTTTCTAAGGAGCCCTTCCCAGGCCAAGCCATTTTCAAGATTGGAAAAAGTAAAATGAAATTTACCAGAATCCTTTTCATTCATTTCTCACCACATGCCAATTCTTAAATTAATTACAAACCTAAATTTTTCTCTAGTGTCTTTTGGGAATTTAATCTGGTTTCACTAGTGGGATTTTAAAGGAACTAACATCTAAGAGAAATTTCTCTGGCCTGATGATATATTTACTGAGAGGTTTAGAAGTCAGTGATATCAGTGATGTTTTATACCCATTAAATTAAGTCATAAATCTTGCTTTCTGATCTTAGGCCAATCTCTTACTAGTTGCATAATCTTAGTCAACGTACTTAACTAGCCTGTGCTTCAGTTTCAT